GATTGGTTTTGTGTAACCTGTCTTTGTTCCTAATTTTGGTGATGTGCTCTAATTGACAGTTAATTATAAAGTCTGACCATTAGGCATTTATGCGATCGATGGGCATTTTTTGGTTAATTTGACTTCGATTGAGATTTGAGCTATGATTCTTCAGTCCTAGGGACAAGTATGATATCAGTACCATGGAGCTGAACTTATTGGTTTTGTGGTTATTACTCACCATATGAAGAGTCCAATCTTGAAATCCACTGTCCGTAAAATCTTATCCATCCTGAACTTTCTAGTAGAAGGATTACGCTGGTCTTGGAAAAATTTAGGATGCACATAAAGTTAATTGTAATTGTTGTATTGTTGCTTGATTTCGTAGAAATAGTATGTTGTTTTGATTGCATTTTTCATCCAGTGAGAAGGAAAGGCAGCAATGCAATGTTTTTGACGCTTGTGGATGTTTGTGGGCATACTTGGCTGACTTACGTGGTTCTGAAGGAAAATCTCATGTGCATTTTAATCTCTATTATGATCCATTGAAGCACAATGGTCCTATCTTGCCCCCAGCAGCAGCTTTAGCCCCAACACTCTGGCCCCAATTTCATCTTCGCTGGGCTTGTCCAGAAGAAGCACAAGCTTCTGTTGAAATTGAAGCAGAATGTAGACAAATGTTTCTGAAATACTCTGAGATGCAGAAGGTGAACATTTTATTTTTAGTTGTCTGACTTGTTATTTAATACATCTTATCTAAAAATTCCTTCCTTTCTCATCCCCATCAGTTATGATGGTCATGTAGTCATTTTTAACACACTATGCTATGCTTGACATCCTTAATTTGGTAACATAACAAAACTTTTTTCCCTGGACCAAGTCTCTAAAAGATAGGTAAGATAAGTCACTCATAAAGACACATGTAGGGAGATCAGTTCTATTGAAAATCATGACTGTCATGCTTATGTCTCTTGATTGGTTTGGGGCTTTGGGCCACCTATCTTTTCGTAGGTCAGGTCTAGCTTAGTGTTTTTCCTTGTAATCTCTGGTGCATGTTCGTGAGCTAACGAATTATGAGAACAACCTGTTTTTGGTTTTGCACAGTCCCAATTGAACTGAACTGTTGTTTTGTCTGGATTTCCTTCTTGGAGTAAATTCTTTTGCCATTTGGAACGTGTAACAGGCTAAAGAAATGGCAGAGAGGAAAGCCAAAGAAATTGAAATTGCCATGGACGCATTGAGTTCAGAACTACGAAATGAGAAACAGTTAAGATGGTCAGCTATGAACATGACCAAGAAAACAAGCAAAGAGAATGTGGCCATGAAACGAGCTATTCAGTCATTGGGGTGTAAGTTTCAGTTATCTGACAATGGCGATTGTGTTTTTGATATTGAAAGCGATTTAGTGGTGTCAGCACAAACTGCTATGCGCCCTTCCAGCAGAAAGGATTCGGATAGCACATCACATGATGACAAGAAGGATCTGTCTGTTTCAGTAGCAGTTACAGAGGATGATGATCATGCAAACAATCCTATTTTTCGAGTGTGTGAAGCTCTATGCCCACTGCGTACTCCAAATGGAAGTTGTAGGTGGCCAAATGCTGGTTGTGCACGACTAAGTAGTCAGTTTGTTGGTTTAAGGGCAAATTTTGATGCATTTGACCAATTGTCGATTGATGATAGTTATTTTAAATCTGAATGAACGGTGAGTGAAGGTGGCCGGGGGAAAAAAAAATTGACAGGGAAGAAAAAGAGGTTCTCTGTTTAGATCAACCGGGTTTTGGTATCTTCTTTAGTAAGCATAGTCTAGAATACTTTTAAACTCACCCATGAGATGAAGAATTGAGTAATGCAGGACCCTGCCATTTTTATTGGGTCTCTGAATTTGTACAGGCTCTAGAGATAGCTGAAGAACTTCTTGGTAGTTGGCAGAAACATTTCTATGGAGCTTGCAAGTTTTGATGGCAGATGCAGAGAGCAAAAGTGCATTGCTACATGCGTGTAAGTAAGGTGACAATCAAAGTTGCAGATAGCATTGCTTTATTCTTGAATAGGGTTGTACGTTGTACAGATGATAAATTTGTCAGGAGGGATCAATGTACAGCAAGAGTAAATTTAGTGGCCAATCATTCTGTTGTTAAAGCGGCTCTTTCTTCATATAACGATGACTTCATTCATATGGTCTCGAGTTTAACGGCTTGTTTTGGCATTTAACTGGTGAGAGATGATGCTCATTCCTCCAAGAGCCCGTTAGTGACGACGCAATTGCTGAATGTAGACAAAATTTACTAGCATTTGTTGATTGTGCATTGTTATCATGAAGATGAAACCTACGAAAGTAGATTATTATCATGAAGCACTTGCTGTTAGGGTCGAACATTGAGCTGAACGCCTGCCTGCTTGTATTTCAAATGAAGTTCAGTTGAGAATTGAAGTGCCACGGGCTGCGGTGAAAGAGTCGAGGCTCAAATCCTCTCATAACTTGAACTGATTTGGAAGTAGCAAATATTCATATTTGGATCTGATAAAGTTATATAAATATTTATTTGCATATAACACAGACTTTGCGTTTAACTTGGGGGAAATTATGACAAAGGACTGACTATTTATTGAAGAGGTCTTGAAAATAATTATTTAGAATGATCAAATACCAAAATATAAATTTAAAAATACTAAATTGTTTCTAATTAAATATCATACATTTTTTTAATCACATATCGCACATTATATTTAACAATTACTAATAAAAAAGCATTATTTGAGAGAACCATTTCTTGTATATATATACACGCACACATAAGGAGGTGAAAAATAACTAATTAAACCAACAAAATTGATATCCAGAAGTTCATATTATGTTATAATGATTTCGTTTCCCTTGACAATTTATAAGTGCATAGTTTGAGATGAAATGTTCTGGGAAAAATATAACAATTATTTAAAATTATAATTTTTTAAAATTATATTTATTTAATTTTTAGAAGTAAATATTTTAAAATCATATTGATTCAAAATTTAAAAGTAAAGACTTTTTGAAAATTATATTGATTTAAAGATTACAAATAGGTATACTGTGGAATTTAATATTACTTTTGTAAATTGCAAAATTTGTGGTTGTAAGTAAAAATCAAATTAACAAGGGCAGTATTATCCTTATACCCCAATCAAAAATTACACTCAAATTTTAAATTTTGTGAAATTTATTTATATATAAATATATTATAAAAGACCTATTCATAATTTTTTCAATTAAAAATTGTACTATTTTTAAAAGAATATCTCTTGCCAACTTATATTGGAATGCATTCAGTGCTCATCAATTTTGATGAGCACACGCTAAGAGTGATCTGATCCTTTATTTTATTTTTTTTAAATGATCTGTGCTGTTAATTTAAAATTATTTTTTTAAATACTTTTATATTATATATATTAAAATAAAAATTATAAAAAATTTGAACAAAAAAATATAAAAAATGATAATATTAAATATGAACTATTTTTTATACTTGTTAGAGAATGAATATCATAGTACTCATCATTATCTTTGATAACGTTTGAATAGTCCAAGTCTAAGTTTTTTATTTTTATTTTATATATATTAAAATAAAAATATTAAAAAATATAGAAATTTTTAACAAATGTCTACCACCAATTTTGCCCATACAAATTTAATTTAGAAGACCCAACTTAATATTAATTTTTATAATTTTTATAAATTGACTATTTAAATATTCTAGATAATATAAATATAATTTGAAAGACTCAATTTAATATTAAAAATTTTATAATTTTAACTAATTGATCAGATTTAATATTATAATTTTTATTTTGATAAATATATTATAAAATTATTTAAAAATTAATTTTAAATTAATAAACAGAGATCATTTAGAAGGAAACGAAGGGTGATTACATCTGACAAGCACCGACTGTGGTTCCTACACAGTTCCCTGTATTAATTTCAAGTAATTATTAAATTTTATACCAAAGTTATAGTAACCAATTACACTTAACTCGGTCTTTTATCCTAATTTTAATTTTTATGATCCTTTATAATAAATTTTAACAATATGACATCCCTCTCTTTAATTTTCCGTTTAACTTGGATTCAAGTTTGCGTGAGTGTTAAACAGTTGGTGCATCGCTGTAAATAGCACAAACACAACTCTGACTCTCACAACTGCTCTTCGTTAAATCTTCAGGATTAAAGCCATTGTAGAATTGCAAAACTTAGAACCTACTTAAAAACTTATTTTGAGAACAATTTTCTGTTCTTCAAAATAAGAGAATAAAAAAATTTATTTGATAATATGTTTTTAAAAAGTATTTTAAAGTATAAAAAAATAAAATATTATTCTGAAAAATAAAAAATACAAACAACTTTTAAGTATTTTATATCATTGTTCTAGAGAACAAGAAAAAATAAAAAAATACTTATTTTTATTATTTTTTTATTCTTAAAATATATTTTACAAAACACTAGTTCTCAAAACAACAAAATAAAAACAACTTCAAACAGTCCCTTAAGATTCTCTTTATAGTCATTTCGTTCTTGCCCTTAAAGATATTCCTTTATAATACAGTAAAAACACAAAAGGAGGCTTCCATACTTTGATTATGTTTTGTTTTTTAATCCCTATAACTTAATTTCACTGTTCTCAATTCATTTAATTTAATCAGTATGCAACGTTAGTCCTATAGTTTTAAAAATATGCATAAAAACCACAAGATAGCACTAAAAGGAAAATTTTACTCTAACTCTACGAAGCTCTTTAATGACATAATAAAAATATAATGACATGAAATAAAATAACTAGATATGATTAAAAATAAAAAATAGGGGGGGTTTCTTTTATAATATTTAAAACAGAATGTGGTAGATGAAGTCAAAATTAAATACACATCCGCATGGGGAAACAAAAAGTTGATTACGTCAGCAAAACTAACTCTGTCGATACCAACTTATAATCCTTATGCGTATTTTTAAAATTATAGGGACTAACGGTAAAAAAAAAAAAACGTAATCAAAGTATAGTGTAATTAAATATACATATAAATATATACATATAATAAAAACCAAGCAATTTATTATGACTAAAAATACAAAGATTAGATGTCAACTGAAAAGGGCAAGGCCTGCCTCGTTTAATTAATACTTCCTGTTTGATCAATCAAGGTGCCAATTTGATCTCCAGATAGTGCTCTTAAAACATTCCCCGGTTGCAAGTTGAAGGCTACAACTGAAGAAGGAATACTTCAGAGACGAAAGACAAATTCAATGGAATGATAGAAATACAGACACTGAGAGAGCCAAGACCAACCAGGAATTCCATTCTCTTCACAGAATGCTAATGCCATCACATCTATGCAAGTGATGCCCCTCGAAGCAACTTCCCTAAAAGAAACGTGAATGTGATCAATTGCCACATTCTCACTGCCAGTGTGGCAATCATGGCCACCACTAACACTGGTTCCCTTCAGCATAACATCAGCATTAACTGCAAGACAATAACAAGTAATTGAGAGCAACAGGCAAAAAGATAAAAACCAAGATGTGATGTCCCAGTTAAGGATAAGGCCACACCCTCCGAAGCCCTCAGCGCCGCAGCTGTATCAGTGGTAAAGAGAGGATTTCCAGCGCCAGCGCCAACCCCACCAAATAGAACGACCCTCCCTTTCTCTAGATGTCGGATAGCTCGTTGCCTGTTATAAGGTTCAGCAATCTCTGGCACGGAGATTGCACTTTGAATACGCGCCTGAATACCCAGCTTCTCCAAAGCAGAATGAAGCAGAATAGAGTTCATGACCGTAGCCATCATGCTTGTTTTACAGACAATAACCGTATGGTCAGCACAAAAAGCATAACTAAAGACTGGGAATAATTATTTGGTATTGGGTCTCTAACTGACCAGAAAAAGGGAATATGGATGCAGGCTCGCTATTACAACACACAACACACAGCAGCTAGCTCAATCATGAATGTTCACTCACTCTATACTTGACCTAGCAAAATGTACTAACACATCCTTTTCACTATAAAAGGATTTCAATTACTGATCAGTGATTGAGATGAGCAATTGCAATCAAAAGCACAAAATCTTTACCCAATTTGGTAAGCCGTAGGTCTGTCCAACTCCAAGCCAGTAGCAGACACCCAGGAATCGCCACAAAAGAAGTTACGACCACCAACAACAATGGCAACCTGAGTATTGTATTAAAACTTAAAATTCAGCCTCAAGAAAAGAAGTCAAAAAGATTTTCCAATAACACCAAAAATAAGAAATAAAGGTGAGATACCTCTACACCAAGGCGGCAAGCTGTCGCCACTTCCCCAGCAATCTGCATTGCCACCTAATGATGGAAGGAAGCATTTGAATTGCAGTTTCCAGTTAAGTCTCTAAGAGTAGAAAACAATCTATTTATTCAAATATCCCAAATGATCATTAAGTATGTGATAGGATCACAAATAAAGTGGCACCTTGGGGTCAATACTTTGGCAGTTTCCAGCTAAGGCAGATCCGCTGATTTTAAACAGAACTCTATGCCATTTGAGATTAGATGCTGGTTTTGTTTTCGGGTTATTCAACACTGCAACATTGGCAGGTGTATATCTGCCAATATATGTAAATACAAGCCACGAACAAGCAACAGTATAAGCAGGGCCAAGCTATTAACTTTATGAAGGAGTGGTATCACCGCCAAATCAAAGTCTGACTATTCAACCATAAATTCTACAAACCTATAATGACAGAAGCTCTAATTCTACATTTACTGAAAAAATGCACAAAAAGCATAGGGAAAATTACATTCAAGTCCCAAAAAGGAAGTTTATTATTAAGAGGTCTCATGAATTTTACAAAATACTCTGAAATTTCAAATATTGCGCATTGACAACTTAATTAAAGGGTCAATGCACAAGATTTGGGACTTAAAAGTATTTTATAAAATTCATAAGACTTCTCGATAATAAATTTTATTCTGTGAGACTTAAATGTAATTTTTCCAAAAGCATAAGCATGACACAATGCATGTCCAGTACAGTAAGCACATGCATAAACGACTTTTGAGTTAGGTTATAGTCTCTCGCTTTTTCCTATGGTGTTCCGTTCACGGTTCTTTAAGGAGACCTTTTTTTTTTTTTTTTGGCTGAAATCCAGGAGAGAGTACGTCCATTTTTTAGAATTAGAGAAGCTGGCACTAACGGCCTGAATGGATGACCTCCTCCGGAGGCTTACATGCTACTGGACTACAAAGACATTGGTGGAATTCCCCTTTTAAAAGGTTTCTTATCCTCATAATTCTTTCTCTTTCTAGAAAAGATTCTTTTTTATTCCGGGAAAAAGAATTGCAATGTAAAACAAAATAAAGATGATACTGATTGAGCTATTTTTGGCCCAAAAAAAAAATTTAAGTGAGATATCGAATGAACTAGTACCTGTTCTTTGGGCGTCTAGCCACAGACAAGGAATCAGCTCCACCGCCCTTCTCATCATCTGACACCGTCTTCACAGTCAGAGAGTTCCCGGCAATAGTTTCAATCTTTTTAAACCAATGCCAGTTACTTGATGTGATACTGCCACTACTTATCCTCTGAAGCTCCACCTTGTACCTCTTCTTCAAATTATCAATCTTGTTCTTGCATTGCTCCACACTTTTATACGCTTTGTTAGTCCCATCGGCACCGCCACCAACGGAGCACCGCTCGCTGACGGCTCTGGCAACCTCCTCCCAATCACGCCCGCGCAGATTTCCGCGATTCAGCTGGTTCAGTTTCTCTGTATAAGCGTCCAGGAGGCATTCTATTGCCGTGTCACTCCATTCCTCGCGATCCTTCCGGTAATCGACCCGGTAAGTCGCTTCGGATCCTAAATCAGGTTCAGCGCTCGTAGCAACGCTGCCTCCGCTACCGGCGACGGAAGATTTCGACTTCTTGTTATAGTAATAGGAGCTGTCGACGGCGGTACGCTTCGAATTAGGGGTCAAGACTTCAGACGCGGATTTGTTCGGATCAGAGGAATCTTCGCCATCGTCGGGAAAGGGTTGAGTGAAGTAGTCAGCGTTGGTGGAGTCGCCGGCGTCGGCAGAGGCAGGAGCAACTCCGGTGGTGGGGCTAGAGGAGGAAGGGAAGTGGCGCGTGTGAGTGTGGAGGAGAGGCTGCGAGTGGGGGTTGTGCGAGTGGGAATCGAGAAGAGGGAAGTCCTCAGTAGCCATAAGAGAGAGGGGAGAGAGAAAGTGAACGGGAAATTAGGATTCCGGAGGAGAGGAAAGAGAGGCAACGCCGTTAGGAGGCAGGTGACGAAAAGTAGGACGAAGGTAGACGGTGGCGGGCGTTGCCGTGAGTTGGGGTTACGATACCGTCATAACAGACGGACTTGTGGGGATGGTCACATGGTCATGGATTCGCCGTCTCATCCGTTAAGAATGAAACGGGGATGGAACGGGCAATAGACGCTCTGGTGTCTGCTTGGCTGTAAGCAGCAGCTCGTGGACTTTATTGTGCCATTCGTACAAGGCCACGTGGTAGCGTAACTTAGAAACCAATGTGCTACTTATAATCACACTATTTGTGTTTTTTGTCCAAAACAATATTTGTGCTTTAGACACAGGATTGGGCTTATCGAACCACCTGCTTATTTTTTACAAGCATGAACTTTAAAAGTTAAGATATTTTAATATAAAAAAGATTTTGAGCCTCGTTTATATTTTTACAAGCATGAATTTTTTTCAAGTCTTAATATAAGGGCTTGGCTTGAACTACTCATTTATACCTATAATTTTTTTTATTTGGTTAAATTATATTTTTAATTGTATAACTTTATTTAAAATTTTAATTTAATTCCTTAATTTTATAAAGTATCTTTTTAATACTTTAACCTTAAATCTTTAATTTCACATGATTATTTTTTGTATCAATTATTATTATTTTGAAAAGGGAAAATATAATTTAGGGTCTCTGTATTTTGGTCACGTTTTGCTATAGGTCTCTATATTTTTTTATCGATGTTCTAAGTCTCTCCATGAACAAAGTGTAGAAATATAAAACACTATAAAATAAAATTGTAGAGATCTAAAATATCTAAAAAAAAAAGTGCAATGACCTATAGTAAAATGCAAGCAAAGCACAACAATCCAAAGTTATATTTTTCCTTTTAAAAAAATTAAATTTAATATGTCAACATTTGAGGTAAAATTAACAATGTAAAAATTTGTTAGGATAAAATTAACAATACTAGGTTTAAAAGATTAAAAAGATATTTTATAAAGTTAAAAAATTAAAATAAAATTTTATGTAAAGTTAAAAGACTAAATGTATTATTTAACCTTTTTTATTTTTTACAAGTATTTCTTGTAATCTTATTCAAAATATGATCAGACACGAAATGCAAACATCTCTTTTAATGGAGATTCTAGCATCTATTTGAATCCCAAAAATTGTGATAGTTTATATGTTAAATTAATTTTAAAATTTTAAGATATGTGTTTATATCTTATATTTAGGACTTAAATTACTTAATTTAAAATTTATAACAATTTAATTCATATTATAATGACAAATTTGATTTAAAAAATAAAAAAATGAAATAGTTTTTAAATTCGGTTATGAACCTAATCAGCAAAACTGACCTTGAAAAAATGATTAATTCTAAAATAAAATGATTTCTGTGCCTAAGACTTTTTTTTTTTTATTTCAGTTCCATCCAGCGAAAAAAAGTCTTTCTTAAAGTTGCTACTTATAATCTCAAAAAATCACTTACTTTTGGAAGACCTACCACCAGTCAATACCAACCATGCTTACCATAACCCTCCTCGTGCCACGTCCTTCTTTTGTGGTTAGTGGTCAATTTTTCAACCATTTTTACTGTTAAAATTACAAATATTGTCTGTTTTACTTACTTTTTCACATTATTATTACTTATTATTCTTTCAGAGAGAGAGAGCGAGGGGGTCCCTTCACTTCAAAATCAATTATTTGAGATTAATTGAAATTAGTTTTTGAACATTATAGGTCAAATTTATACATTGTTGAGCCCAACTCAAAGCATATCTCTTAAAAACATTTTTCACATGATTTTGGAGAACTAATTATAATTAATTAATAGAATTTCTTTTATCCAAAAGACGATGTATACACACACACATTGTTGATCAATTTTTTGTTGGCTAAAAAATTATCATACCCCAGTATTGATATTCAAAAAAAAAAATTGTTCTTTTTCATGATAATAAAATAAGCCGAGAGTCATGATTAATTTATAAAATTATTCTATTTTTTTATTTATGTGGACCAAGAGGTTTATGCATTCTAAATATCAGAAAATAAACTATAGGTTTTGGCATCAAGAGCGATCTGTCTAACGATGCAATTGCCCCGATGAGCACCAAAACAGAGGAAACTGAAGCTATGAACGTGTTGACCCAAAAAATAAGGTTGCGTTTGGAGGGCTTGAAAGTAAGGTTGAAGAAAACCATTGGCAAAATGAAATCTAAAGGAATGCACCCAAAGGCACCAAACACTGCCATTATATCTCCGAAGAATGGCAGCATTGCAGCCAAGACTGTGGCCACCACCACAGATAATGACCTTGATATCAATCTCGGCACAACATTCCGAATCGAAAACTCTCCCACCTTCGCATCACCAAACATCGTTTCAAACAATTCATTTGTCGGCTGCATGTAGATCTGCAAAATTATGACATCAAAGTTCTGTATCAGTCCAAAACTATGGTCTATGGAATTTACCCGCAATGGTTTGGTCAAATAAAAGACACCCGATTATTTTCTTTACATAAAGGCGATGACTTGAATCTTGCAAACAGGGGAATAAAAAGTCACTCATGTAAAGTAAGGCTCTAGTCTATATAAAAAGTCATTTACTTCACGTATGTGCTTAGAGAGAAGTTAACAAGCTCCTCTTCTTGCGAGTGCTCAAGTTTCAAAATTCATAGAAGTGTTGTTTTTTTTTTTTTTTTGGGGGAGATAATTTTTTTCTTTCCAATTCGTTTCCACGTAAAAAATGAAGAACATTCATTAAAAAAATCCCTCAGATCCGTTAATATTGTTAATTACCACAGTAACTGCAAGGACTTGGAGGAGAGTGAATAAGTTGGTGATGAAGAGAAACCAAGTGGGAAGAAGAGGGTTGTGATGTCCCATGAAGTTAGCAATAACAGTGCCACTGGCTTGATTCCCAAATGCCCAATAGCCTGAAATTCCAACGCTGAAGTATGTTGGGACTATCACACAATAGCACACGCTTAGCCCTTTCAACATCTTTCCCTTCACTGGTGCTGCTGTAGTTGCCTGCACATTAATTAATTATCCCAAATGATTAAATATCATTCATTTCTATCACTCAATTTGCAATTACCTGTATTTCAGGAATGATGCCACATGCATATGTGGTAGCAATGATTGAGATGCCATTGAAGACACCAAACAGCTTGTCTATATTACTCCCATTCATTGAATAGCTTCTGGGGGGCGCTATACTCTTTGAGTGACCTGCAATACATATATACAAGAAGATACTCTCTTATTTTTAGGTTCTCTATGTAATGTTGGAGATGTCATTGAGAGATTCAATTTGGTTAATTACCAATATATATATGGAAGCAAATGTGGCACAAGCACTGTAAGCCACACAGAGAATAAGAGAGACAAGATTGATGTGCCTTAGGGAATGGAATGATGGGACTTGAGCCAACCCTAATGTGATGACCCCACATATCACTATGAATTGGTATAGCTTCATTGTTCCTGTTGGGTTGTACAGCATGTAAATGAACTGCACACCACAGTCAAATAGTTTATATATATTTCAGCACAAAATGGAATGAAGAATACACATGAACTATAAGAGGATATGTGATTAATTGAGTCTCTATATAACCTTGAGGCTTTGCCCTCCCAAAAGAGGACCAATGATAACTGCGCCAAAGCATATACCCAATTGGAGTGGGGCAACGTAGTATTTGGCCCATCTTGGTCCTGAACCAATAATAAAAGGAGTTCATATAAAAAAAATTGATAAACAAAATGAAGAAACCAACTGAGGAGCATAAATCTAGTCGACCAGGCCAATTGAACTGATAATTCAACTCCAATTTTGACCATTAAATATTGACCTTTAAATCAGTGTCTTAATCGATTTAATGACTTATTTAAGTTTTAGTAGCCTTGCAGAGAAGTGAGAGAAAAGAGAAGACGGAGATACCCAAAATATCTGCGGCCATATCTCTGAATCGAAGTTGTCGGTGTCCAAGATGAGGGATAAAAGTTTATAAGAATAGAAAGTGACGACACCAGCTATGGTTAAACACAAGACTCCTCCAACCCATCCTAGAAGTGTGAACGAGAATGGAAGACCCAGGAGCACTGGACCCACTATTGATGTCGTCAGATGATACCCACTGTGCAACCATGTTCCTGTGTTTTCATCAACAACATTAAACATATTCCTTACAGAGTATTATCCATGGTATTAAAAATCGAATTAATCCCAGGTGAACCGATAAACCACCAGTGAAATGTTTTTGTTCATTAACGATCTGTCACATTTTGATTACGGTTTTAATCACTAGCTGTTAAACCAATACTTTGATTGGTCGGTTTTCAGTATCTTGGTAATATCACACATTTCATATGAATTGAAAGATTAGAAAGTTGTGACTTGTGATACATGATCTTCAATGAATAAACTAGTTTATGAGATTGAAGCTACACAGCAGTTAGCAAAACCAGTCTGAAACGGAGCTTCTTATTGATCACTTGCCAAAGATAATAAAATAGGAATTGAAATGAGAAAACGAACCTCGAGATTTGAGAACAAAGAGAACTCCTGCGTCTAGTTGGTTTGGATCAGAATGGTTAACATGGCCGTTTTGCTTGTTACTTGCAGGAACTTCCACAGTCACAGAGCTATGAACCACTACTGTTCCCATCTTGTTAATTTGCTTCAATCTCTCTCTCTCTCTGGATTTTTTTCCCTCTCTCTATCTTTCTCCTCTCTTTCTAAAATAATATATAGATATATATATATATATATAGGCAATGATAATTAGAGAAACAAATCAATAAAAAGAAAAATGGCAGGTTGAGTCCTCAGTGTTGAAAAGGAGTGACGTTAAAGTTCTCAGACTTATCTTTTTTCAAGGGTGAATAATGAACAGGACAAAACATGCACGCTTAGCACTTCAGGCCTAGTACTTTTTGACTTTGATGAAATGCATGTCCTATTTTTCAACATATAACATCCTCTTCATAATATTAATAAACCATGGACAATAAACGTTAATTGATATATACACATTTTATGAAAGAAATTGGTAAGATGACACCTCTAATTTTTATACAAATTAAAGTTTTAGTTTGATTTCTTAAATTTATGCCAAGAGTTTATAGCTTAATTGACATGATCCATACCCTTTTTTTTTTAACCTGGTCCATACCCCTTAAAGAGTTTTAGGATTAAACCCATTTTCTATGAGAAAAGATTAGCTAAGATAGTCAAAAAAATCTTTTAATATTATAAAATATTTTTTTATTACCACAAGCTAAAAAGTATTCTGAAAGGCACAATCAAATACGTAATTAAGTTTTAATCAACAGGGTGCCGCCGTGTATAAAACTCATTGTCACAGGTGACCTTACAAATTATAAATATTACGAAATGCCCAATCAAATACGTAATTAATTTTTAATTATATATATATATGGTATATATATTACTTAATTGACTCTTGATTTTTCTTTCATCAATTAATGCTTATGATTTGACTCTTCCAGTTGTATATAATGAAGATTGAACATATATATACTTGGATTTGGATATATCCTTTAATTTATTACTTTGAAAAGTAGTTGTTTTGAAAAGTAGCCAGTGAAAATGCAATTATAAGACCGAATATAATTAGATGTACTCTTTTAAATCTTTTTCATTATACTCCTATCATTTTTAACCCAAACTCACTTCTAATAAAATAATTAATTATTTTAAACTAACATTTTTTATTTTTTTATTTAATAACATATTTTGTTTTAAAATAATTTATTTATTATGAGAATTTAAAAAATATTAATTACATATTAAAATATTAAAGATGCTTTAATCTTTTAACATTTAATTTTTTAAAAAATATTTTAAATTTTTAAATGGGAGGGTATTTCTTTTTTAAAACATGCTCTTGAAAAGGATAAACTCCGCATGGAAGTAACTAAAACAATGCAGGGGCGGGGCACATCTGACAGGGTGGTGGTGTGCGGAAGTCAAAATAGGCTGCGATATTATATGTTGGGAAAAATTTATATATTTAACTTTTTTTATATATTTAAAATATTTATTTTTAATTAAATTAAGATATATATATTTATTATAGATTATTTATTTTTAATAAATTTTAATTATTAATATTATTAATATATTTAAATTTATATATCTTAATTTGATTCGAAGAAAGTATATTAATATGTAAAGATGAGTATATAAATCTTACCCTTATATGTTATGCTATTAAAAAAAAACATCAGTTGGACTGAATTGAATATACCCAAAATAAATAACCATTTGAAAAGAATACGCTATACTTTCTCTTTATTTTTCCTTTGTAATCTTCTCTTCTCTTCATTTGATGTTATATATAGTTATAGTCTTATTGATAATTGAGTTTACTCCCTCCAGTCCATTCCGGACAAAATTTTAAAGCCATATTTAGTATTAAATATATGATAAAGATGTCATAATTATGAATAACTTTTTTTTTAATGTAACCTCTTCTTAATTGCATCAAGTTGTAATTCCTATATATATTTTATTGTGGTCATTTTAATGAAGAGCAAAATTAAAAAGACGAAATTTTTTTTTATAAATTTAAGAATATTGATTATCATTTCTTAATATAACTTTGATTAATTTTATTCTATAATTAAGATGAGAGGAAACACTCTACACGTATTTAATATTATAACTTACTCATTTTCTTGGTCCTAGAATAATTATATATAGATCAGAAAAAATATATCTTTGTCGTATACAAATGACAAAAAGAATTTACAAAGAATGTGGAGATTGGTCAAAACCGTCTTTGACAGTGTGAAATCCTGATGGCTAAAACGTCGGCACATTCATTCACTTCTACAGCTAATTAACAAGCTAAGCTAAGGATGATCTGGCTTCTTCATTCACTTCCACGAAAAGGCTGTTCATCGTTGTCATCTCCATTAATCCCCCTTATCACAGTCACTGATCCTGCTTTTATCAGCTGGTTTCACACACATGCATTATAATTCTCCAGTCATGAGCGATATATATATATATATATATAAAGCCCTCTATACAATGAACTGGAGATTCCAACCACCATTCAGGTTAGCATTTGCTAGCAGATATCCTTTACCTGAAAATGCTGTTCAATCTAACCTCGTCAAACCAAGCCTTCTTGCGCTTCGGTATTGTTCTATTTCAGTACCCACTCTTTACTATGGTAGAGTGATGAGGAAGGATTACCCAACTTCGTCATACGTGGGCGCGCGCGCGCGCGCTCATATTCTAAAGGTCAGAAAATAAACTGTATGTTTTGGCATCGAGAACTATCTGTCTAATGGATGCTATTCCTCCTATTGCAACCAAAACTGAGGAAGCTAAAGCTATCAATGTGTTGCCCCAAAAGATGAAACTGCGTTTTGAAGGCTTGAAGGTGAGATTGAAGAAAACCATTGGCAAAATGAAGTCTATAGGAATCACCCCGAACGCTCCAAAAATTGCTATTATGTCTTGAAAGAATGGCAACATCGCAGCCAGTACTGTGGCCACCACCACTGATAATGACCTTGATATGACACGTGGCACTACATTCCGAAGTGAAAACTCTCCCTTGCTCGGGTCTCCAAACATGGATTCAAATAACTCATTTGTTGGCTGCATATAGCTCTGCACACAACATCATCATCAAAGTAGCTTTGTATCAGTTCAGAAACATACTGTAGCGTTTGAGCAATTCAAAAATCTTCTAGGGAATAAGAAGTAAATAACACTACATCTTTACTCAAAATCTCAACCATCAAGTTTATGACATTCATCCATTTTATTATATATTAATTATTAAGTTCAAACTCAAGTTCACTTACGTAAGAATTAGCAAGTGATCGAATAAGTTCTTACCACGGTGACTGCTAGTACTTGCACAAGAATAAACAAGTTGGTCATCACTAGAAACCAAGTGGGAAGCAAAGGCTTGTGTTCTCCCATGAAGTTAGCAATAATGGTGGAACCAGCCTGATTTCCAAATGCCCAGTATCCCGATATGGCAACACTAAAATAATTTGTGACCACCACAGAATAGCATAAGCATAGTCCTTTGAACATCTTTCCCTTCACCGGCGGTGCTATCGTTGCCTGCACATTATATATAATTCCAAATCAATCATATTTCTATCACTGACTAGGCATGCATCTACATGCATTTCATGATCAGTTTCAGTGCTAGATGTGGGTATCAGTTGTAGAAAATGGCGGTGTCAGAAAACGCAGTTTAGAAAATCCACTCAACATTCATCAATGAAAAATGATGGGACTTAGAAGTTTCTTGCCTGTATTTCAGGAAGGATACCACATGCATATGTGGTGGAAATGATTGAAATGCCATTGAAGACGCCAAGAAGTTGGTCTGCACTGCTTCCTTTGACTGAATAGTTTCTGGTGGGTGCGTTCTTGGAATGACCTGAAACAGCAAAAACAAGAATTACGAATTTTTTTTAAGATGCATGACAATTTCTCAATCTGTCTAGGCTGCTAATTAAATTCAGTAAATTGTGTGTTTGATTCAATTTGCTTACCAATATATATGGAACCGGCTGTGACACAAGCACTATAAGCCAGACACAGAATAAGAGAAACAAGATTCAAGTGCCTTAGAGAGTGAAATGATGGGATTTGAGCCAACCCTAGTGTGACAACCCCGCTTATCATGATAAATTGGTACAGCTTCATTGTTCCTGTTGGGTTGTACAGCGTGTAAATAAACTGCATGAAACAAAGTAGACAATTGTTAATTTTCTCCAAGCTAAAATATTATATTACATTAATTTCTACTCATGTTTCACTCCACTGTTATCACCTGAATTAGTTTTAATAAAATATGAACACGCGTTTTTAAATAGGAGAGAAAATGGAGTGAAAGAATTTGATTACGATAATGTGATGGAAAAATTGACCACCTAACCTTAAGGCTTATTCCTATCACGAGAGGTCCACCAATAACTGTACCAATGCATATAGCAAACTGAAGTGGGCCTATGTAATATTTGGCCCATCGTGGTCCTGCATCGATTAGTTAAAAGAATCATTCTTTTTTGCATTTAACATTAACCACAATCAATCAAAACAGTAATACAATTCATTTTCTCATGACAATGAATCTTGAGTTACTGTTTTAAGATAATAGAAGAAAAATTAATCATTTTATCCTAAAATTAAGGAACTAGGTCTTAATTCAGCCAAAGCCAAAGCTACAGATGGTTACTTTTCCCCATAATAAATCTGTAATCACGGTTTAAATTTAAAAAGGCTTGTACATATGGCGGAATATTGGGTTCAATGATAGAATAATGTGAGTGAAGAATAATGGAAGAGAGAGAATGTATGGGTTTATAATTAAGGAAGAAAAGAAAGATACCTAAAATGTGCCTGGCCAGGTCTCTCAAGCGAAGCTGGCGATGGCCAAGCTGAGCGTGATGCTCCAGGACAGCCGAAAAGAGGTTGTAAGAATAGAATGTGACGAGACCTGCAACGATCAAGCACAGTACTCCACCAACCCATCCTAATAGTTTGAACGAGAATGGCAGAGTCAAAAGTGCTGGCGCTACAATCGACGAAGTCAAATGATACCCGCTGTGTAACCATGATCCTGTGTTTTCAAATTATCATCATCAAGTTCTGGAACTCATCCATCATTAAACCCATCAAAATAATAGTTCAAGGTTAATGATCAAAACACGCATTTCATTAGAAAGATTAAGGCATTAACTAATTCAACAGTTGATACCGGTTCATTTGGTCGGCTTCACCGCATACCCACTTAATTAATTCTTCTTCTGGGTTATTCTCTCGGAAACAAGATTGCAGATTCAATATTTCACAGCAGAAAACCAGTCTGGAATGGAGCTTGTTATGCTTGGGGATCCTACCCTTTTTCTTTCTTTAGAGAATCGGTTAAGTAAGCAATCATGACTAAATTCCACAGAAAAATTAATTCTTAATGGCCCCGAACAACTGAATTATCAGTCAGAAACGTGGATTATTCGTTTTCACCAGGGTTTATCAAATGAACATTCACAAACAACTTAGTTGATTTTCTCTTCCAGAGGAAGAGTTATTCCTCAGGGAGTAGTTTTTCTGGGCCGACAAAGATACGTAAATGTCGGAGCTACTTTTAACTCATCCTACTGTCAAATTTTACGGTTTACATTACTCAAGGTTTTGAAATCGCTAGGCACATAATCTAACACATATTAACTATGATTCATCTTCTTTTGGAAGACATACCCAAGCCTGAGTGTCTGCAAATTCTATATCGATCAGTTCAGATTTTCAATGTATGATAGTTTCTGACCTTTCTTTACATAATGGAAATAGCAGTCAATTAAAGGATTCATATATAGCAGAGCCAGTCTGGAACGACACAAAGCTTCTTCTTAATGATCTTACCTTTCAGTTTCACAGGCAATTAATAAATTAAAGAGAACTCAAAAGGGTAAAAGCGAATTAATAACCTCTAGATTTGAGAACAAATAGAGCTCCTGCGTCAAGTTGCTGAGGATCAGAGGGACTGGTGATGACATGGCTGTTTTCCTTGTCAACAGTACTTGCGGGCAATTCGACAGTCACAGCATCAAGAACTACAGTTCCCATCTTTGTTACCTCAATCCCTCCCTGTCTTTCTCAATTTCTCTCTCCTTCCGGACTTGTTTCTATATATAATATATATACACGCAGCTGAGATGATCAGAGATTCAGAGGTTTTCAATATATGTGCCTTGGGATAATCATGGTGTCTTGTTTATATATATAGGCACATGATGAGTTAAAAGATATCTCAAGGAGACCAGTAATTGCCAGATTGACCCAGTGCTGAAAAAGACTGATACATTGGAGGGGTGCATGCGGAAGCAACATATGTATTCTTCTCGGTCAAAGAAGCACTTCTATAAAATAATTAAAGTGTTTGGAATATCTTTACAAACTAATCTTCTCTAAACTACAAGTAGGACAATGACGCAAATGCACTGATAAACTATTGGGAAAGTGACAAGTAAGCTTAAAAAGAAATTAATGACAGATAATTTTTTTAAAAAATAAGTTATAAATATATCAATGTAAATAATTAAAATTTAGAGTTCCAATTATAAATAGGATATTTAAATTATAAATAGAACTCTCATTTTATAGTTAAATTTCTGCCTGTGATTATCTGAATAAATATTTATAATTTACATTTTTAAAAAGTATTACGGATTTAATTGTTATTGATCTCCACTGTAATTCCCTCTAAACTAGTATTTTGTTTATGATGAAATTTTGAAGTCCTCTCGGCGCAGTACCGTTTGCCTTTATCATTGCATGTGTACTATTTTCTGTCTCTATATATATATATATATATATTATTTCTGCTTTCAGAGGATGTGATGTTTGGTAATCTACAAAATTTTAGAAGTAATTAACATGTTTTCTTAAAATTTTAGAAGTAATTAATATGTTTTCTTAAAATATTTCTAAGCAATGAATAAAGAGACTTAGTTCGCATTGAAAAATTATGAGAATTAACTAATTGAAAGTAAAAGTTAAAAATATGGAAAATTTTCAAGACATTAATTAGTTTAAAATTATTTTTATTGATATGTATAAGATAGTTAATTTTACTTTCTAAAAAGTTAAGGAAGGGAGGAGAAAGCAATACTATCTATAAAATTATCATAGTTATCAAAAGTTTAATTAAATATTAAATACTTTTTAAAGTAAAACTAACTATGAGGTGTATAGGAATATATTGGGATATAATGATTGGAAAAAAGGTTGATGGTGGGACACAATAACTAATTAGGTGGTTCATCTAGTGTGAATATTGAAGTCAAATTAAACTGCTGTATTATTCAAAAAAAAAAAAGGATATCAAATTCTATTAATACATGTGCCCTAAAAAGTTGACCAGATCCAGCCTGGCAAGGAGACCAAAACCCCGTATGCACGCACATTTTAGCCTTTTTATTTTTTATTGTTATAATGAAAGCAAGTAAACACGACATCCACGAATGAGTTTCATGTTAAAGGCGTGTGGGGCAGCAAAGAAAGTTGGTCCAACAAATAAAATCTAATAATACCGTGGTCGAAGTTTTGTTTTATTAATATAAAAATATTATTAGTGGGTAATTTATTAAACATCTTTATATGTGCTTCTCAAGTATTAATCATTAAAAACCTAATTTAGTACCAATGAATCTCAAGACTTGAGTCACTAAAATTTTTTATATATATACTTCTTTTCATTTTATTTATAAGAATAGAGAAATAACGATTTTTTATTTTATTATAAGTCAGGTGCCATGAACATTTTATCACAAGTTTTTTCTTCTATCTGCATTAAATGTTAATAAGATAAAGTACTCATTTCATCTCAATTTATAAATATTTTTTTGATAAAATAACGCATATCAATAACATTTATTAGATACATTTTAAAATTCTTTTTAAGAATATAAATATAAATTTTTAAAAATACTTTTTATTTAATATAATATTATTTGTGGAACATTAAATGGAGATATAAAATATAATAAGGCAAGATGATTTTGGAACAAGCATATTTAATAAAATGTCTTTGTTAAAATATTTTATATTTAAAATATTAAATTACTTTTAAAAAATACCTTATAAATGGAGCGAAAGGAATATATTATTAAAATATATGTCTGTATGTATATTTAATAAAATAAAATTAAAAATTTATTAAAACTTTAAATAAAATTAATGCATTTTAAAGACTTTTATGATTTCAATGAAACAAGTTATTTATAAATATTGAGAGAGAGAGAGATGCACGCAAGCCTACCTCTGACTGCCCATTGAGAAATCATATTTCTACGCATGAAGGCCGTTGCATGCCATGTTGCTTCTTTTCATGAACAATAAATTGATTAATTGTGTTGTTCTTGGACAATTTGATTACTCTAGCAAAGAAAATATTGTTGACTACTGCTACAACATCTTCTATTGTTAATATTAATATTTGCTTATGAATACAGCTAATGCACGTACAAATATACAATGACATGTGCTGCTTCTATTTAAAAATATAAAAAAATTTAATTAAATTTTATTTTTTTAATAAAGTAGTTATTATTTTTAAACTAATATTATCATTTTATATTTATTTTTATTTAATAAAATATTTCATTCTAAAATAAATAAAATTTATTTATTTATTATAAGTATTTTTAAAAAATATAATGATTATATTTTAAAATACTTAAAATATTTTATATTTTTTAATATTTAATTTTTAAAAAAACATATTGTATTTTTTAAGGAGAAAGAGTTATTATTATAAACAAATGTAATGCTTATGTAATCCGATGAAACCTTTCAATTAAGATTTTGAATGGTATTATTCTGAGAGGGCCGCCTGTGCTCAACAAATTTTGAGATCTTCAAAACGTTTTTTATAAGTTTTAGGGATAATTAATCTTTTCATCCTTCTAATTTCACTCAATTTTTAATTTCATCCTTCTAATTTCAATTTGGTTAAATTAGCCCTCATAGTATCATATCGTTATCGTGCCAATCCTCTCACTTTTAAAACGTTATCAAGTGTCTCGTGTAGAGTAACACCGTCATAATTTGGCCAATGTGGCAATATGGACGCATGAGTTGGCTTGCCACAAATATACAACTTCTCTGCTTGCAAAAAAAATATAAAAAATTAATCTTCTAATCCTTCAACTTTTAACTCATTTGTAACTCAATCTCTCAACTATGACTCGTTATGATTCAATCCCTCAATTATAACTCATTGTGACTCATCCTTTAACTTTTAATTCACCTATAATTTGGTCTTTATTTTTAATTTTTTTTAAAAAATTTTTATCAAATAAGAGAAATAAAAAAATACTCATATATTATTTTAAAATATCCTTCTCTTGCTCATTGATGTGAGATATAAGCTAATATAAAAAAAATTAACAAAGTTCAGGGACTAATTTATAAGTGATTTAAAAGTTGAGGGACTGAATCATAAGTGAGTCATAGTTAAGGGATTAAGTCACAACGAGTTATAATTGAGGGATTGAGTTATAATAAATTGAAAATTAGAGGAGTAAAAGATCAATTTTTCAAGAATATAAAACTTCTCATTCTCTCTTAAATCTTAATTACACATGGGGGACCAATCGCATAGAGCATGGAATTAAAACAAAGTCCGAAGCAAACAACACGCAGATTAAAGCTGAATCGAACATCTTTGAGCACTGGGCTTGCTTATTCTTCTATCTCATTGTCGCCATGGCTGGGATTTATTTGTTCATATATGTATACATACTGCTGAGCATAGAGCACGTCATAGTCCATTTTTCTCACTACATTCAAACTTCCTCACAGCTTGTCCTTCTTGCATCAAAATTTCAAACTTTTAGCTAGAACCATCCAACATAAACTCCTACAAAAATGTTTATTTATTAGCGTGACATAGAAGAAATTGTTGATTCACAGGCTTATTAACCATCCACTCCTACTTCCCTTGAGATTTCATTCTTGATGTTTCTTGTGTGTTATGTAATAATATTTTGCCTGCTAGTTTACTTGATAATATAAATGAATGCTTTGCATATCACAATTGCCATTGGACCCAAGCGGAAGCCTAGGTAAAAGAGTTTTCCATGTACATCATAATCAGCAAGTGCCTCTGTTTCTTTGTGTAGAAAACAGAGGTAAACGGAGCCATATATAACATGTTCATTCTTGCATATTCTTGCTTAGAAAACAATGGTTATTTTCAAACCAATTGATTTGTCAGCTGAGTGCATAGTCAAAGACCATCAATCGAGTCATTGCTAAGTCATTCTATCAACAATTATTTCATCATCTGACACTACTTAGGAACAGGGATGTTACCTCTCTCCTCCCCTCCCCCTCTCTTTCTCTCTTTACAAATGATGAACATGAGATAAACTCAATCTATTATCAGTAACTTCACACTGGTACGGAAGCTTATTCTCATTTTCAATAAACTTCACAAGCTCTCCTGGTGGTTGAAAAATGGACAAAACTAATGCTAATATCCAAAGCATGTTTAACAATAAAATTCACAGCGAAGAGGAAACACTCAATGCTAACTCCAAAGCATTTTTACCTACTTGGTTTTGGATGAAATAGAAGAGTAGTGAAGGTTAACTCCAGTAGGACGATGCCGCTTTCTTTGGAGAGCCCTCTTGCAAAGCTTCAGGGTTCATAATGTGGGGATATAGCTGAGCTGGAAATTATGGGGAAGAAATTAGTTTCGGTAGCTGTTTTTAATCTACGTGTCACACAAGATTGAGACTATTTGCCACGTTATTAATAGATTGACGAAGTTAATAACTTTACTAACGATAAGGATTAAAGCCTTTAACAAGCAAACTATAAGGATTGATGTAAAAGTTACAAAACTATAAGGATTTGATTGAAAATTGAGTGAAAATGTAAGGATTAAAACATTAATTATCCCTAAATTTTACACGTAATTAATTCAGACAAATGTTATATCATTAATATTAATATAAAACAAAAAGATATTAAGAAGCCACACCATACTTACGTCATAAAGAATGTCACACACACACACACATTTGCACAAATATACAAGATTCACTTTTAATCCATTTTATTACAAATTTTATTTTTATCATCTATATTAATTTAATTCTAATTCAGTCGTCAATTAGTTTTACTTTTTAAAATTTTCATTTTTATCACTTAATTTGATATATGTTTTTATCTTGTGATTTTGTTTATTTATAATTTAATATTT